TGGTGAATTGTTTTGGTTTTAATTTTGTGCTTTCCCTAAAGAATTTTTTTAAAAAATACCAATTCACCCCCCTCTTGGTTAGCCTCGGGCTAGTTTTTAAGGGCTTAACATCCTTAACGAACTTTCAAAATTTGTCAATTGCATTCCATTCTCACCCATATACCCGCTCTGGAGCTTATATCACTTCAGAGCCCCTTGCCTTTCGTCCAATGAGGAATTGATATAATGGGACCCTTTCCTATAGCCATTGAATAATGAAAATTCATTATCCTGGCTGTAGATTACTTCACCAAATGGGTGGAGGCAGAACCTTTGGAAAAGATTATTGAAGAAAATGCCAAGCAATTCTTGTGGAAGAATATAATCTGTCGTGTTAGCATTCCTGCCAGAGTCATCACTGATAATGAGACATAGTTTACGAGAAAGATCCTTACATCTTTTTGTAAGGATTTTCATATTCAGCTCATCAACATAATTGTCTCCCATTCTCAAGCAAATGGGCAAATAAAGGTTACAAATAGAACAATTCTGAAAGTGCTAAAGACATGCCTAAGGAAAGCTGGGGGGACAATGGCCTGAAGAACTCCCAAGTGTCCTCTGGGCTTATCGGACCACTAGCATAACTGCTATAGGAGAAACTCCGTATAACCTTTATTTTGGTACAGAAGTGGTCATACTAGTTAATATTGGAGTCTCGAGCAACAGAGTTCAGACTTTTGACCTCAGTAGTAACGAGGAGAGACTCAGAATAAATTTGGATCTCTTACCAAAAGTAAGAGATGAAGCCTCACTCAGGACCGCTGCATACCACCAAAGGATTGCTCGTCACTACAATCGGAGGGTGAGACCTCGATCTATCTCTATTGGGGAATTAGTTCTGAGAAGCATCGAAGCCATTATAAAAGGCCCTCAGCATAACAAGCTCTCCCCCCTCTGGGAGGGTCCTTATTTGTTGGCGGCTATGGTCAAGCCTGGAACCTTCGAACTAAAGGATGCTAATAGAAAAATGCTCCTCCGGACTTAGAATGTCGGCAACCTTTGCAAGTACTATCAGTAGGAGTTGATAATACTATTTGTTTGATGTTATGTTGTTGGTAGTATTTGTCTTGTATTATATCCCCTCAAGTGATTATGCTTTGTATCTTTCAAGTTTTATGTCAATTTTTCTTATACCCCTTGCATGTTAATTATGGGAGAACTCTTTTTCTTTAATATCCCTAAGTTATAATAGGGACTTATTGTACTGTCTTATATAATACAGTAATATGATGTTCACTTTGTTGTGATACTATCTCTTCTCCTCAAACTCTTTTTTCGTAATTCAAGAAATACATAATCTACATTATATCTCAATCACTGGATGATCAATCCCAGGGAGATTTGATCCGACCTCTTCTATACAGGTTAAAAATCATCAAGCAAATGCTTTGATTAACAACTTCGGATAGGTCAAGATATCCAAGGCGGATATCTCTTGCATTCACTCAAGTCAAAAAAGACCATCAAAATATTTCTCATTGGAATAAAATTTGAGTCAATTTTAAATGCATGTGAAAAAAGAGAGATATTAATAATTTTTTTTATATCACTGAACATTGAGTACATCATATGGAAGTATCAACAACAAACACATATATAATCAGTAGAAATAAAATAAAGTGATACAACATAACATCAAAGCCATCCTACAGGATCTCAATATCATCCTTATCCTCCTCCAGGGAAAAAGCCTAATACAACTCACTCTCTAATTCTTCACCACCAGAGTCTGAAGAAGGATCACCAGAAGCCTAGCTAGGAGTCAACCCCTCGATCTCCTCTCTAATCTTACACTACACTACACGAACGCTCTTCATAAAACCTTTGATGAAGCCATCCTCCATGCAATCTGCCTCGAAAGCCTTCTCCTCCACATCATAAATATGATTGCGAGCTTCCTGAATGTGATCCTTCATAATTATCTTGAAGGCATAAGATTTCTTGAACTCTTTTATGACTGTAGATGGCAATTACTAGGCTTCCTTCTCTGACATCATACTCTGGAGTCTCTTATTCTCAGCTTCAAGGATTTGCTGATCTTTCATCTGCTAGTTGATTGTTGTATGTGCATCCACCAACTCTATATGTAGGCGATCCATCTGTTTATTCTGTGAAGAGTCTGAACTTATCTTATTTGCCAGCTCTGCTCTACACACTTCTAACTGCTCCTCCACCGCATGCAACTCCTTGACATTACCATCTTATTTATTCTTGTATTCTCCCTGAAGGTATTTGACCTTTACAAATTTGATGTTCCAGTCATTTAAGGTCTTGGACATCTCATGCTTGAAATCGATTTGCTGCTCCAATTGAAGCAGCAAAAACACAATTGCATAAGAGATATATATATATATATATATATATATATATATATA